CCACTGGGAGTTTGACCAGAGTTCAACCAGGGGGTGGAGCCAGCCCGCCAACAGCCTGCAGCCCCTCCCCCTGGCTGGCCTGGCCCTATCGGCCCCGACCAGGGCAGGCTGACTATTTCCTTTCAGTGTGCACAAATCCATGCACCGGGACACCAGTCCTACATAATAAAAGGGTAATATGCAAATTGTCCCCTCCACTGGGAGTTTGACCAGAGTTCAACCAGGGGTGGAGCCAGCCCACCAACAGCCTACAGCCCCTCCCCCTGGCCGGCCTGGCCCTATCGGCCCCCACCAGGGCAGGCTGGCTGAACCCCACTGGTGCACAAATTTGTGCACTGGGCCTCTAGTATATGTAAAAAGAAAAAGTCCCAGCATTGACCCTCTCATGTGACTGCCTCTCCTGACAGCTGCTGTGGTCAGGGGTAGACTATGCCACTGGTCAGGGAGTGGCTCCATCTCCCCATGTCCAGATGAACTGAGAGTGGGATGGGTGTATGGTAGGTGTCATACAGGTCCCCAAAGGTGTCTGGGTCCTGATCCCTAGAACCCGTGAATATGTTAGCTTGTGTGGCAAAGTGCTTTGCAGATGTGACTAATTTAAGGACCTTGAGATGGGGAGTTACCCTGGATTGTCTGGTGAGCCCAATGTGATCATAAGTGTTCTCTTAAAGGGAGGCAGGAGGGCCGCAGACAGAGGGCGTGATGATGGAAGCGGAGGACAGAGACCTGAGGTGCGGTGCTGCTGGCTGCGGGATGGGCTGAGTCAGGGGTGGAAGCCAGAGGCAAGGGGAGGACTTCTCTCTAGGCTCCAGGAAGAAACGCCCTCCGACCCACTTTAGGACTTAGGAGCTCAGGGACTGTGACAGAATACGTGTGTGTTGTGTTAACCCACTACATTTGTGGTAAGTAGTTAGAGCAGCAAGAGGGAATAAATACTGAGTGGTTTGCTGAAGGCATGGTGTCAACAAAGAGAGAATGGATGCAGGGCGGGCAAACGAAAGCATGTCCCCCACGCTCAGGACCACATGCCATGTAAGGCTGAGTGGCCCCACTCAAATAGGACAGGTGTGCATTGTGTCCGCTGGAGCTGGGTGATGTGGAGGTCCTGGCCATGAGGGTTCCATGAGCTAATACGTGTGAAGCACTGAACAGCGCCTGGCACATAGCGTTCAGTCAAAATCAGTTGTTTTCATTGTCAGCATCGTCATCATTACACTTTCTCCTCTGGCAGTTGAATGGTCTCCTCATTTGCAAGATGAGAAGGTTAGACGCAGCGATCAGGTTCCTTCCACTCTTACATTCCGTAGTTCTGGGGTTCTGCGGCTCGCAAACTGGTTTTGACTGGTTTGAGAAGTGCCATACCACATTTTGATATCAAAACCTTCCTCACTCCCATTCAAGAGGTGCTCGTCCTTGGCTCTTTCCTTTTGCAGCAATTTTAACTTCCACGGGTCGCAGTGAGATTTGTCCATATGTTTGAAGAAATGTGCAAACCTAATATTTGCTTGTATCATTTGTGCTCAGTTCATCACCATTCGCTGTCAGTCAAACCCTTAAGTGCATGTCCTCGATTAATAGACCTGGCGGAACTGCATTAACAGCGAGTCAGCTTAAAACCAGCAGCAGGAGAAATAACCTCTTCTAGAAGCTGGCGAATGAACAGAGATCAGAGCTTACAGCTCTTCCTTTGTCAGAGGGTATTATTGCCCAAGAGTATTAGTGTTAATTGTGCTGAGGTCATTACAGATACCCTGGCCCAGTCATCCAAGTAACTGATGTAGCTCCTCACCGGGCAGGCTGAGCTTGCGTTTTCCAGCTTCCAGTGGCGAGGACAATTTAATACCACATCTTCAAAGTCATTTATTTCAATTGTAGGTCGTCCGCCTGCGAGTGTCATCCTAGGACTATTATTTACTAGCTGTGCAACCTGGGCTCAGTTACTTAATCTCTCTGTGCCTCAGTTTCCTCTGTGAAGTAGGGATAATATTCATACTTCATGGGGTAGCTGTGATGAGTAGGTGAGGTGGGGTAGGTGAAGTGCGGCACACAGTAAGCATTCAGTATTATTAGCTATTATTTTGGGTGCATATACATGCCAGTCAAAGACACTGAAGTGTGAGTGTGGTGTGACTGAAGTTCCCCATAGAACTGTGAGCTTGGCAATCATTACGGAAACATGGGAAATCTCCCCGAAGCCAATCCACCACATGGAGGCAGCATCGGATGCCATTTCCCAGGAGTACGCATTGCCTACAACTTCTGTAGCTCGCCGTTCAGCTGTCCTTCATTCTCCATTCTCCACTGTGTGCCAGGCGTTGTGCTGGTGCTGGGGGTACAGTAGTGAACTGGCTGGATAAGGTGTGTGTCTTTATTGGTTCTACTTGGTGATACAGACAAAAAACTGAGCAATTAAAGCGGAAAATTTAAAAAATTGTGATAAGTGAGAAGGATCAAGTGGACAGAGCACTCATAGAAACAGCAAGGAGGGAGGCTGCTTGAGATGGGAAAGCAACAGCCACATGAACACTGGAATTCCATTGCTACAAGTCACATTTTTAAAAAATATCCCAATCATTGCCAGAACTTTCAACACTGCACGATTCTCCTGGCGTCAGGGGGATGGACTGAGGTTAAAGGAACATGGGACGTTCACGGTGTCCCTGTGGTCCTCACTCCCATTCAAGAGGTGCTCGTCCTTGGCTGTCTCCTCCCCAGCTTTGCCTTGTGAGCTCTTGTCCTCTTGTATCTTTGCAGCAGCCCCCACGAGCACTGAGGGCACCAGACTTTCTCATGCAGCTCTTCTCCAGTAGATTGACTCGGATCCTTCCTCAGGCCCAGCGCAGGCAGATCAAATACTATCAGGGCTCATTTCGTTACAAGTGGCAGGAAACCCAACTCAAAGTGGCTTGAGCAAGAAAAGGAATTTATTGATTCCCATAACTGCGAAGTTCAAGTGTAGAGTTCAGATATGGCTGGGTCCAGGGACCTCAACACTATTATTAGGATTCTGTCTCCCACCATTTAAAAAGATATTTTTATTCATCTCAGAGAGGAAGGGGGAGGGAGAGAAAGACAGAAACATCAATGATGAGAGAAGAACCATTCATTGGCTGCCTCCTGCACGCCCCACACTGGTGACTGAGCCCACAACCCGGGCATGTGCCCTGGCCCGAAATCGAACCATGACCTCCTGGCTCATAGGTCGATGCTCAACCACTGAGCCACGCCGGCCTGGCTCCTGCCATTTTGGACCCAGCTTTCCTTTTGGTTGGCTTCATTAGAGGCAGGTTCTTTCCATGTGATGAGTTCTAGTAGAGTCAGGTGTTTCTCCTTCCCAGGTCCAGTCCAGAGTAAAGAAAGATTTTCTCTCTTAATTATTCCAGCTAAAGGCCTGGTAGGTTTTGACTGGATCACACGTCCAATCTAGAACCAATTACTGCAGTCCAGCAAAGAGATGACTTAACTGGTCAGGAGCAGGCCATGGAATCACCCCTAGAACTCAGAATGCACCCCCAGAAAGGTCATAAACAATGGATGGTCATGGTGTAGAATTTCAGGGACCCTACACATGGGATAACCCCTGGAACTCAGAATGCCCCCCAGAAAGGTCATAAACAATGGATGGCCATCTGTAGAATTTCAGGGACCCTACACATCAGCCCCTTACAGGAAAGTTCATTGAAGAGATCCCGTGTTTTTTCAACACCACAGCATTTGATGTGCTGCTCTCTGGAACTGAAGAGTGAGGGCAACTTATGTAGGACTGGAGAGAAAGGAAGGTTCATTCTGGCTCAGATAGTCCGGAAAGACTTCAAGGAGAAGGTGACATTGGACTTGAACCCCCCCAAATAAAAGGACGGTTGAATTTTAAGAGTGGGAATGAGGAATGTCAGATGGAAGGACTGATTTGAGCACCTGCTCAAAGGCAGACGAGTGTAAGGCTTTGTCAGAAAGCTGTGGAAACAGATATTGGAAAAGTTTGGATCCTGGTGCAGAAGAACTTAAATGTCCCAGCTTCTGAAGATCATGAGCGACTGAGGCACAGCCAGGAGGCAGTTCCTTTAATGTTGGTGGAGGCTGCAAGAACTTCTGCCTACAGACACTTCCTTAGACGGGAGCACAGACCCGGAGGCCGGCCGGGTGCAGGGGCTCCATGGTTGGAATGGGCACTGGGTCTGGGAGTGGTGTGGGGGATCCATCAGGAGGCTGCTGAGTTATCCCCTCAGGCCTCTTGATCACCCCTGGGTACTTCATCTCCCACCCCTCTTCATTTTTTTAGGCTAAATCCATCCTGCAAGGATTCCTGGAGGACTCAGGCTACCGCATCCAGGACCTGAAGAGCTTCCACTTAGTAGGACTTGGTACAACTCTGTGTGCCATGAATGTCACCGAAATCTCACTTATACAGGTCGCAGAATTCAGGTAACCAAGTAAAAGTGTGCGAAATGGCCGAGGACGGGCAGGTGGTTCCTTCGCAGGATCCTCTGCTTCCGATGCCTGGCCACCCTCCGGGCACAAACGGGGTGGGGTGCGCTGGGTCCTGTTCTGGGGCTGAGCCAACACCTTTCTTGCTGGAGCGTCTCCTGAGCTCACACGGTGTCCCTCCCTCTTAACCAGGGTGGTGGCGGCCAGAATCGGGACCCTGCCCTGCAGCACCCATGTCTTGGCCGAGTTCAAGAGGAAGGCAGAAGCTGTGTTTGGGGATCCCACCAAGTGGTCCAGCTCCGTCTTGCAGGAACTCGGAACTATTGCCGGTGAGAGTCACCTTGACCTTGCCCTTCTCCTTTTCTGACCTTAGACCTGGGGACAGGCAAAGAGACCTGGGCTTGTGTAGCGACACCTGTGTAGTTCCCGTAAAACCTGGATGTCAGCACACGAAGTCGCAGAGGGTGGGGTCGCACGTCTGCCTTTTGAACAAGCTCTCTTGGTGGTTTTGTGCACCCAAAAGTGGTTTAGGAGGTGATGGAATTGACTGCTAAATAGGTTTACACTTGATCTGAAAATGCGCCTTCTGAGTATACATTTCACCGTAGGAGACCAATCAGGGCTAAGGTGACCCGCGTTGCTTTTCTGAGTTGATTAGGACACGGTTCCAGAGGGGCTCTCAGGGCCTTCTGCCGGAGGGACGCGCACCTCCACCACGCAGACCGCACCGTCTGCAGCATCATTAATAAAACATGTTGCGTTCCGCTGTCTTGGAGCAAACCCTGTGGTTCCCTTTTCTCCCCAGCGGGATTAACGAAGGAAGAGCTCCGGGTGCTCGACAAGGATTTGATGCCGTATTTCCAACCA